ATTCTGTGATTCTGTGTCTTCCTTTCAGGTCTGCTCGTGCTGGGATGGTAACGCTGCTCTTTAGGGTTGTTCGTACTGAGAGTCTTCTGGGGCTCTGGAAAGGTGTCTCTCCAGTAAGTGGCTGTTTTAACCCTGACTTCTAAAAATAAATACATAAATAAACCTACCGTTTATTACTGACTATGGACTGGATGGAAGTAGCTAGCTCTCCTACAGTTGTGAGTGGAACCACGTGATTTAGATGGATAAGTCCTATTTTAAGGAGTTAATGTTGTGAATTCCACTGGTTAGGTCATAGCAGTCTCTGTGGATCTGAATGCTTAAATACCATTGCAAATGTGGGGTGGCAACTGCACCAGCCTCATCTTGTTTTGGAATATCTTGGTCCTAGAAAACTGCAGTTGAGGAAGGCATTAAATCCTGGCATCGTTTGAATCAATTGGCTCTCAGTGCTGTAGGTGATATTTACCTTGTCTTCTTTCCCGAGCATGTTAGCTGAGGAAAAATCACTAGTGATTTTTTTTGTTTGGTTTTGGTGCCAAGCTTCCTGTGAAGTGTAACAGTCTCTGAAGTGTTCTGTAGTACATTGTGTCTCATGTGTGCTCTTTCTTTGTTCATCTGCTTCCATTTCTTCTGAAGTCCTTTGCAAGATGTATTCCTGGGGTTGGGATTTACTTCAGCACTTTGTACATGATGAAGCAAAAGCTTCTAGTGGACCGTTCACCCACAGCCCTGGAGTCTGTCTTTCTGGGTGCCACCGCGCGTGCGGTATCTGGGATTTGCATGTTGCCAGTGACTGTAGTGAAGACCCGATATGAGGTGAGTGTGACTTTCTAGTTAGTTCCCGGTTAATGATGTCACACCCCTTCCTCATGATGACAAAGAAGTTCTTCTATCTGGAGGAGGTGGCTGCCACTTGAGTACAGTCAGGGATGTAGTCCTGATTTCATCCTGGTTCACACATTGTGCAGGAAAAGCCACGCACTGATTTTTAGGCAAGAAGTACAAGATGAAACAGAATTCACCCCGAGATTTTTAAGTTTCAGTTGTATACAATGTGTAATTTTAACATCTTTCTTATTTTTCCTTCTTGGAGGATAGTTTTAAAGGCTGAGGTAGGTGGAACCTGGTTTTTGCCTTGGGCTGTCCTCTGTGCTGCCATCTCAGGCATCATGTGGAGCGCATAATAACACTTGTTTGGACAAGGTGGTCTTGGCTTGTGTGTAGGGCTCCCTGGCCTGTGGCCAGCACATGGATGACTGACCGTTGTCTACCCTTGCAGAGTGGAAGATTTGGTTATGGGAGTGTATATGGAGCTCTGAAGAATATCTATCAGACAGAAGGGGCTCGTGGCATGTTCAGTGGGCTCACCGCCACGCTGCTGCGGGATGCACCCTTTTCTGGGATCTACCTGATGTTCTACACACAGACCAAAAGCTTCACACCTCAGGGTAAGGATAAACATTGGAGACTGTAATGAGAGGTGTTTCTTTTCTTACATCTTGCCCTGCAGTTGACTGCTTGCCTTAATGCTCTCTACCTCAGTAGTTAAATTAGTCTCTTGTAGGGCTTTAGGTGGGACATTCACATTTTCCCGTGGAGAACTATAGCTCAGGTTGATGTAGAAATGGAAATTAGCCCTAAATTGATTGATTGTCTTTATGAAGACTGGTGCATAAGGTGGGTTAGTGAACAGTTGAAAGAGAAGATGTGTTCAGCCGTCCTTTCCGATGCTGATTCTCTGGTGTACCGAGCAGTTTCCACTAACCCGAGGTTCTCTGATATTGTAACTGGCTGGGGCAACACTTGCACCATCTTTCCTTCTTTGGATTCCTGTCAAATTCATTTCCCCAGCAAGTGAGGCTTTTTAATAGTGCTGACTTGTGACTTGTAGCCACTTTTCCCCTTGAAAGGTTTCCCTGCGTGCATAGATTGTAACTTCTCTTAGACCCTGATGTTGATGTAATAGTTTGGTAGCTTTTCACTGTGTCACACAGCATGATTATTCCTGGCCTGGTTTGTGTCTGAATGCATTCCCTGTGCTCTGTTGCAGACCAGCTGGATCCAGTGCTCATGCCCTTGCTGAATTTTGGCTGTGGGATCTTTGCTGGAATCTTGGCTTCACTGGCAACACAGCCTGCTGATGTCATCAAAACACACATGCAGCTGTCCCCCCAAAAGTACCGCAGGACAAGCCAGGCCATTGCCTTCATCTATAAGGTGAGGTGGATCCCTTCTAATGTGTGCAATCACAGCGTCTCCTCTGATCTCCTCACTCAAAGCACAGCCATGATAAGAAAGTTGTTGTCTTTTTAAGGAGGTGAACAGATGTGACTGCTTGATGTGCTCTTGCAGTCAGCATTTCCAGAAGCTGAGGTGGGTCATGCTGAGGGAGACTGAGGCTGAATCTCTTGTCACTGCTGTGTGTGCAGACTTGTTCAGTCATAACTGGAAAGTACTTTGGTTGATAGTCCGAAAGCAATCAGAGGCTTCAGTCTGTTCCTTGCTTTTCCTTGTAATTAGAGAGTCTGTTATCACTGCTCAGATGTGTTTCTTGCTCCTCTTGAATGGATTGCAAGGCAGTGAGCTTCCTCCATGATTATTCTTGCCATTCCTCAGTCCTGTATCTGCTTTCACAAAATTACAGATGATGGGGAATTGGAGAGCAAACTCAGAACACTGGAGCACAAAGGCAGGCATATTTCAGCGAGCATCTATACACACACGGGCCTGCTTCGTGTTTCAGGCTGGTGAATGATTTCACGTCAGTTCTATCTGTTACATATTGATTCTTAGGCTGGTAGTGATGGAAAGTGCTCAGCATATTTCACTTTACTTTCATTTCAGCTTAGCTTAGTATTTAGGCTTGGAGGAGCTGTACTTGGAGCTGCTGCTGCCTGTGGTTTGTCGGTGTAGGTACATCTGTGGTTACCACACAGGGGCAAAGGGTTTCTTTAGCACGTAGGGTGAAATGCCAGTTTCACACATAAGCCAGCTTACAAGACAATTCTTTGCCTTTCGGACACTGAAAGAGAAATAAATGCCCAGATCTGTATCCCAGGAGTGGGGTGGAGATGTACTCAAAGCCCACCTTTCCCTTCCTGTCCTCAGAAGGGTGGATCTTGGCAGGTTTGCTTTGTTTCCATAGTGAACTCTATTCCTAAACAGGAATCTCTTTATTTGTGCATGGATGTTTTGGTGCCTGGTACATTTTTTCTCATATCAGAATGGTTTTTTACCTCAGTACTTAAAATTTCAGTTTTTACATAATAGCTCAGTGACTTTTGTAAATACGAGGCTCTAAAACAAGGACAAGTCATTTTCCTGAAGTATCTTGAAACTGTTACACCCTTGCCTTCTCTTTGTTGGGCTTGAGTGTGGTTTTCCTCATCCACTATCCCCATCCTGTCCCTGTCCCCATTGCCTTCTCCACTCATGGCTCTTCTTGCTCTCTTGGGTAGCCCTGCAATTGCACAGTGCTACAGGTTCTTCCTAAACATTAAATGCTGTTTAAGCCTGGGTCTTTCAGAAACTGAACTGAGTCTGAGACTAAATATATCCTGTGCTGTTCCATATAATAAATGATAAGAAATTTTAAAACACTAGAGGCAGATTATGATGGGTTGCTGTTTATTTATCTCCTGTTGCAGGACTTTGGGTTGGTTGGATTTTTCCGAGGTGGTGTGCCCCGTGCCCTCAGGAGAACTCTGATGGCGGCAATGGCATGGACGGTGTATGAACAGATGATGGAAAAAATGGGCTTGAAATCTTGACTGGCTTGCACAAGAAATTACCAGCTTCACTCCTTCTCCTGCTTGCTGTGATCAACTGGCACTAGGAATTTCCCAGTTCCACAGAGGAATAAGCCTTGCTCAGCCAGGAGGAAGAAAGCCCTTCTGAGACAGGGGATTAGGCTTTTTGGCAAGAAGAGAAGGATGAGATCTTTGCGTCGTTTGATCAGTGCATTCCAGAAGGACTGCACTTGCAGGCTGCCACGGAAATGGCAGGGTTTCCCCAGCCTGGTAACTGCTGAGAGAAAAACCCCTTTTAAAAATAGCTCTGTGCTCACCACCTTCATGGAATGAGACATTGCTGAGTGAAAGTGTGGAGAAAACAGTGTTTGCAGAACCTGCCAGCCTGTTCCTTGCTGGTCTGGCCAGTAAGGCCACAATGACGCACTGTCTGACGTAGATCCTCCTTCTACATGTGCTTTGTTCTCGCAAGGGGATGTTGCAGACAACAGTGGGAAACTGAATGTGTCTCTTAATGCTTATATCGCAGGACTGGGTGGAAGAGAAATGAAATGCTGAAGGAAAGCTAGGAACACGGCCTCTGTCATCACTTTTGTACTGTGCATGAGAGCAGAGAAGGTAACTGGAACTTCCTTGCTGTGTCATGTAATTAAGTGATGAGCATCTTAACACTCTTGAAATGTGCTTCTGCCTCTACAGCAGTGTTTACGCAGGAATTAAGAAGCATAAGAATTGATTGCTACCAAAGTTCTACTTGTTCTCTGAAAAACCTTTTTCCTGCTGGTCTGACTGTTTCAGGAACACTCAAGTATTTTTGTTATCCAGTTGCACTAGAGACTTACTTGCTTCCTATTATTCATTTGTTAATCACGGATCAACACCCTCAGTGTGAGCTGGTGCTTAGATGTAGCTTTTAGGGTCATAGATTATAACACATAAATGTATAATGGAAGCAGATAGAGATCCTGACTCTTGAGGTTTCTCTTAAAAGCTGCTGCTTGGTGGCACGTGGAGTATCTTTGGGTTTGGAAAGAAAAGGCTGTTCTTTTCTGTAAGCTTTCTCCAAAGTTTGAGACCTGTTTGGTAGAAAACTTTAATTCTCTGGGCTCAACACAGACCCTTCAGAGTTTTCCAGCTGATGATTCTCCCATAGCAGGTAGTCCATATTTCAGTATTCCTGAGTTCAGGCTTAGAGGTAAATACACTTTCACCCACTGTGCCTTCTTCCTCATTCCTACTTTGTTACACAGACCTCGTGGTGTGTGCTGCCCAAACTTGGATACAGCCTGCTCCCTCCTTCACTTGTGCCTCTGTGCTGGCTCGGTTGGGACTCCTGCAGCTCCGTTGGTGTTGCTGCAAAGCTGGGCAGAGAAGTGTGCGTCCAGTTCTGTAGTGTGCCTTGCAGAAAACATAGCTTTGGCTTTCATTTTATTAAATATCTAGGGGTATTGAAATTTGCTTTAGAAACAGAGCAGATGTCTCTAAATACAAAGATGTGACACTGTAGCTGTACTGAACAACTGGTACTACCTACCTGTTGTTCTTAAAATTGAGAATGTGATTTGCACAATCCCTGCCTGCCCTGGCAGCCTCCCGAGCACAAGACTGGAGGGAGTCTGGGTTGTAAAAGATGTTCTTTACCAGATTCCAACGGCAAGAAGGTTGGTGACTGGTGTGAAAGTGAAGTCTGAATAAAGTCTGAGGGACAGGCTGGAGGTGTGGAAGGTGCTGCCTGTTTTTAGCTTCAGCCCATCTGCGCAGGGAGACTGGTGCTACAGAGTCTCCAGGAACCGTGGCGGGGGGTCCCATGTGCACGTCTGTGTGTTAGTAATAGAGCACTGCATCAAATCATTCCATGTTGTGACTGGCAAGCTGTCAGATTCCCTTTGCTGCTTCTCACTCTCAGGCACGTGGGCACATCATTTGCCAAATCCTGAATATGAAGAACTGTTCCTTTATTTTGCTCTTCCCTCCTACCCTTAGTGACCTGAACTCGTGAGGGTGAATGAAACAGTGGTAACTGCACATCCTGCTGTTTGTTACCCTGAGCACTACTGGCACAGAGAGCTGGAGAACCAAGTCCAGGATTGCTGACTAGGTGGAGTAAGGTGGCAGTTACATGAGTTACCTCGTATTTCTTTTATTCCCCTGTGCATGGGATCAAACAAACATATTGTACTGGAAGCCTGAATTTATCTGGGGCTTGCTTACTCTGGTGTGTGAGTTGGATTTGTTGTTTATTGTGGGCTGTGGCTGTGTGTGGTGTCACCTGCAAGGTGCTTCACAGATATTTTAGTTCCTGATTTAGCAATGGCAAAGCAGTGTGCAACTGTGCAGACAGAAACTTAGGCTCTTAAAAATGAGGCAAGTGAACAAAGAATGCCAGGGGATAAATCTTGAATTAAGTAATGTCCTGATCAATGAAACGCAGGAGCGCTGCAGTGGCTTTTATGCCCTGTACTCCTGCCTGGTCGCGTAACAAAGGAAGAGCTAGAGAATTTATTCTGATGTGCTGGTGTCTTCAAGTCTACAGTTTTGTTGGGGTTTTTTTTTGCGGGGGAGGGGGTTGGAGGTTTTTTTAAGTCTGGATTCAGTCCTAAAGCACTGTTAGCTTTTCCTTTGGGAAAGTTCATGCATTACCCTCACTTTGTGGAGAATGAGGAGACTCTTTGTTGTTGCAGTAGAGTGAAAAAGTACCTGCTTTTGACTTGTGAATTAGCCCGGCCTCCTTTGAGTTTAAGAAATAGAGAATTTAAACTGCACTGTGTTTCATCAACCCATGGTGCTGCAAATCCAAAAACTTCTTTACGTGTGAGCTGGAGAGAGAGTTTTGTGGTGCATGTTTGTTGTTTGTTTTTCTTTATTATTTCTTTTATCAGGTCTCTCATATCCAGGGGAAGAGAAAGCGCAAAGTTCTGTTTCACTGTCTTCTGAAAGCTTTATCACATACGCACAAGACTGTTTCTCAGCTTGCCATCCTTAACCCTTTTCCCCACTTCAAAAACATTGTTTCTAAACTGATTTATTGAAGTTACTTCTTGATAGCTGTAGCAAGTCAAGAAAAACAAGTGTGTGGACTTGAAGTTTTGATGTTACCCTTGAGGCTGTATGCTTACAACGAACAACAAATGGTCACTGTACAACCTAAATGCAAAGTCAATCAACGAAAAGATGCAGACACAGGCACTTAATCATTTACCTGCATCATGCCAGCAATTCAACACTAACAATCCTATTAGATAATCATTTTCAAAGCCATCTTAGCTTGGATTCCAGATAAGGTGGTGTGATCCCTTCTACATATGGCAGTGGGATTCAGTCGGGTCCTGCTCGGAATGACCTCTGTTGCTGGCAGTACACTGTTAGTGAGTGTGCATTGGCTCTGCTTGCCCCTGCAGAATACCCCTGGTTAACGTGTTGAGGCAATCAGTATTTAAGCAGAGTGTAAGTACACAAGCAAAATAGTCTGATTATTTATGTTTTAGACACTTCATATTTCTGTTCTTCCTCTGCCTGTTTTGTTTTGGTTTTTTTTTCTTTGCACTGTTTAAACAGAACTGGAGCTTTGGAACATGGCGTAGGTTTGAGTATTGAGTGTTTATGTGTCTATATAAAATATTTATGTGAGAAGATGTATTTTATGTTTCTATTAAAAACAAGTTGCTAAAATGAACCATATCATCTCTTTAGAGTTCCTTTAAAAAAATCCAACCCAACCCAATCAAGCCAACAAGGGATGGGATGGAATAGAGGCTTACTAAGGCAAAAGAAGTCTCCCAGGAGAACAGATGAGTTCGGAGCCCATACAAGGCAATGCATATTCTCTTTTTCTGCCGGGTATAACATACACAGACTGTGCTAGTACAACCTAAATCAGTTTTAATGAAATGGAAAAAACACATAGCAATGGGGAATCTTGTCTTTTTCATAGCTTCCTCTGCCTGCCTGCTGTGTGTGAAGGCTGATGGAAATCGAATCTCTGTACCAGCTGGTGAAATACCTGCCTTTAGGACAGTGGGGGTTTGAGCACTCTGGGGAGAGACTGGCACAGCAGGCACCAGCATGAGCAGAAACCTCCTCCACACCAGAGGTGGTTCTCCAGGGCAGCAGGAGAGCTCTGGGGAGCCCTGTATTTAAGAGCAGGCACTATCACCAGCCTCGTTTGGTTATCAGGTACCTGCACGAGCAGTTTGGGTCCAGCTGGCACAAAGCTGCACACCAGGACCGACTGGTAAGTCTGTTACACACAGATAATTCTTTTGTGACAGATGTCAGGCCATTCTAGCTTTGTAGAACTAGAAATGAGAAGGGAATAGATTTGCCAAAGTATGATTCCCAAAACATGAAAGAAATAATAACAAACCTTTGAAACACAAGCCAAGATGGTATTTAGAAAGAAGCGAGATATGCAGCTTCGCTGGAGGTGGGTCAATCTCTGTGGGTTCCTCTTCGTCTTCTGCAGTCCAGCTCTAGAGGTTCTACACCATCTCTTGGGTGACACCCACTGGCACTTTTGGTGGGATAACAGTCCAAACATCTTCCTGAGCATCACCATTTTATCTGTTCATCACAGGGCCCCTTTTGGCAGCGGAGAACCTCGACGGGGCAGCCCAGTGGCTCTCTCCTGCCACTGGGGTGTCCTGTTAGAGCCCCCTGCTCCAGTTTGTGGGGGAATAGACTGAATTCAAGGAGAAAGCCACTGGCAAACACTTTATGCTAAAATTGTGATTTGGCATTTCCATGTGTGTCAATAAATATGTGGCTTAATTGTGTGTGTGTCAGTCCCATTGCTTTTGTATCTGCCTTTCACACAGAGTTGTTTTCTGCCTGCAGGTTTCATACTTTATGTGATTTGTCTGCTCCCTTCCCCTGCTTTTTTTCTTTTTTTAAACTAAAGCATCAGAAATTTCCATGTTCCCTCCAGGACTGCAGGTGATCCTCTGCCAAATGCACCTTTTCTCTTGTGACACTTAATAGCGTGTGATCTGAAAACATCTGCACCCAAGCGCTGACCCTCGCCA